ATAATAATAATAATAATAATAATGATAATTAAATGTGTTGTCATAGGCGTATGGGCACCTTTAGACCTTGGGGGAGTAGTGACTTTCTTGTCTGAAAAATTTACACAATACCCGGAGGTGATATTGTTGAAATCAGGATGCAAACAGACACAAATTGCATGAAAAACAAAAATGTTCATAATTACCACACCTAATGAAACTGCTATAATCAGAAAAATAGTTATATTCAAAGCTTACATCTACATAATCAAGCAATCATACTCTATCAACAGTCTCAATCGGAGTAAAATCTAAAACTTATTTAAAAGAAAAAATTCTAAAAAAAGTTACGTAACTAACTGGAAACTTTATTTACAAGTTTTGGAGATCGTGCAAACAGCATTATTTTTGTAATGTTTTCTCTTAAGTGTTGTTGCCTGAATCATTAGTGTTTTGCCCAAAAAATCACATAATTTCNCCCCCTCGTTCGCCTATGCCTGTTGCACGCTGGGCTCTGGATTCAGTAGTTGGGTTTTCAAGCCTTTTCAGCTGGGTCATTGAATTGTGTTCTTGGGCAAGACTCCTATTGCCGTTCTCCAACATGGTGTATAAATGGGTACCAGCAAATTCAATGCTATCAAGGAACTCTACAGAGAACTAGCATCCATCTAGGGAGATTGTTAAATTGTTGATTGCTTTCTTGCTACAGAAACTGGGATATGCTCTTAGTGGTATGAGACACTCAGCTAAATGCAGATTTTACCTGAGAAAGCAATTCATTTATTATTACAGATTCTGCTGTGCTGCGGCAAGTGATAATCGAACAAGATTGGAGTTTCATGGTGAGCGTGGTATCTGGGATGGTCGTTCCATAAGAAGGAAGATAAAAGGCAACTCAGCTCTTTATATTTTAATAGAGAAGGTATTGCTCTTTGAAACATACTTATTGAGAAATGCTTTAGTTTACTAAATTTACTAACTAAAGATGGAAATTTATGGACAATGAAATGACATTATGGGCACCTTTCTTAATTTTAGGAAAATCATCAACAAAGTGAATGTTCCCCCTGGATGTCAAAGGTAAATTCAGCTCTGTAAACTATATTTTAATAGAGAAGGTATTGCCCCTTGAAACATACTTATTGAAAAATGCTTTAATTTACCAAATTTACTAACTAAAGATGGAAATTTATGGATAATGAAATGAAATTATTGGCAACTTTCTTAATTTTAGGAAAATCATCAACAAAGTGAATGTTCCCCCACGGAGTCAGAACTGTCACAGTTGTTAGGGTTAGATAATGATTCTGTTGACCCAGAAGAACTATCTGCACAGTCAATAAGTGACACTACACAAGTAGAAATGCACGGGAGACATTCTGTTCATCATGCTCCTCAAACGGGATTAGAAAAGCAAGCTGTACCTAGCAATCCCCTGAAAGAACTAACCAGGTATCCAGTAGTGGAATCAGGACTGGCACCAAGAACTGAGGGAAAAAATAGTGATAAATTACAACCAACTGAAGGGCAATTTATGCGGCATGAAACTATGGATAAATTTCCACCTCCGCAAGGCTTTGTTTTGGTGGCTTCTCAACGTGGTATGTTACCATCAGTGCATCATGCAAGTGTATCAACAATTCACAGCATGACTAATGCTAGAGATGTGGTTACCATGGCAACACCATCATTGCCACAGTCCCTTCCAATGGGTAAGACTGTGTTGTCTATTCAAACCCTTTAATAAATTGAAGCCCAATTTTAGGTCACATCCTTATGGTGACAATTTTTATGTTATTGATAATTAATGTATATTTAGGCAAACATGAACTAAACAGTGTGTCAATTATTGATACCTTCTTTTCCCATCCAGGTGCCATCATCGTTCCTGGAGGAGGTATTGCTGTAGCTCAGCCGGGGGTGATAGCCAATAATGCTGTCTCCTCAGCATCCATGGTGGGTCATCCTGGACTTGTTGGTGGTAAGGCCATCTCCACTGCTTCTGACCACCAGAGTTTGGAGAAGACAGTTTTTCATGTTGCTAAGGGCCAGGGTGCATGGCATGCTGGCTTACCGATGGTACCTCAAATGAACATGATAGTACCTCAAAGGCTAACACCTCAAATGAACAGCTTGAATATCTCAAGTGCAACAGCTCAGCAGTTTCAAAAACAAGGCATTGCGGCAGAGAAATCCACTGGGATGAGGGATCAGGACACTCAAACTGAAGCCACAGAAACATTTCAGCAAGCATTAGCCCCTCCTAGAGCAACGCTGCAACAAAGTGAGAAAAGTTATCCAGTTGAGTACTTGGAGAAAACATTGGCACAGGAGGGTGCTAGATTCAAATCTCCTGATCAGTCAAGCCAGTCTCACCATGAGAAAACAAATACATCTCAGGCTATGGAAAAAGGAGCAGGTTTAAATTCTGCAGATGAAGGCAGACATCATCACAGTTCAAGAGTGTCATCTGATTATGAGGTATTCCTGTTAATGATTTGAGTCATCAACACTTGTAGCATATGGGGGCATGACTGTATGAGGTGCAGTACATGGAGAGTTATGAATCTATTTTTTTTTTGGGGGGGGGGAACCTTCCTTATAAAAAGGATTAGGGTGCTTGTCCTGCCTTTTAGGGGTTAAAAAATGCATTTGAGGGTGTTCAGCCTAAAAAGGTCCACAGCAGGAGCTTGAGCTGAAAAATGTAAGTGTCAGTTAATGTATCATTTTAGAATTGGTACATCTACATCTACATTTTTACATGGCAAAGGTTGCCCATCCCACCACAGAGCAGGTTAGGGGTGACCTAACCTGGTACCTCTTAGGGGTGAAAAGAATTCATGCCACGCCCACAAAACAGGATCTTGGTACTGCCAAGAGGTTCTTTTCAAAATTTCTGACAAGCACCCCCATCCTTTTTACATGGGAGTTTCCCCCTGGGCCTTGAGTGTGCAAGTGAAATTAATGTGGAACTTAATAAGTGTCAATTGCTTAATAATGTAACATTTTCATGTTGTAGTCGCTGGGATCAGATCCAACAGACTCAGGAATTGAAACGGCAGACAATATTGGAGGTGTGTGCTTCTGCATCGCTGAGATCAGTTAATGTTTAGCACTTTAAGTGTCCCTACAATGCAATTGGTGTTCAAATGGTGTAGATGTGCAATTGCAGGTATCCAATTAATACAAAAAGTTGGAGTCGAGAATAGATGGGACCAATGATCTGTGTTGCTTTCTATTGATAGAGTATCTTGGAAAAGAAACCTTTGGGTCAACATTATTATAGATTGATTGAATGATTGATTGATTGATTCTTACACATAAAGACGAACGCAACTTATCGCCTGCGCTCCCAAGACCATATCCTCCTCACTATTCCCAGAACCAAACGCATGACATTTGGTGATCGCGCCTTTGCACACTCTGGACCTCTTCTCTAGGACAAAGTTCTGAATCAAAATTAAAAACTTAGTTTTTTAAATTAGTGTAGAGCATGCCATAGTCTTATAATATGTTTTTTAAATTGTATTATTTTTAAATACATTTTTCTTATATTTTTACCGTAATCTTAATCTTACATTGTAAAGTGCTTTAGAATATTTTATAATTTTAGCGCTATATATGTAATCTTATTATTAATCTTATTATTATTCTTTTATTAATAGGCAATAGACTCCCTCTTCTGTGTGATGCCATTGCGGTTAGTGTAGCTAAGGAATCAAGCTTAACCATAATTACTGTTGACATTGTTGCAAGTAGTGTATATACCTCCTAAAGGACAGGAATGCTCGTCAGAAATTTTGAAAAAAAACCCTAAGAGGTACCAAGATCCTGTTTGTGGGCGCGGCTTGAAATTTTTTTCATCCTTAAGAGGTACCAATATTATTCTAAGACAACACATTCCAGTGGCGGATCCAAATAATAATAATAAAGTCAAAGTCAACGTCGTTTGGTTTGGCCTTGGTCAGGCGGCAGGCTTTTCTTGAAGGCCGTCAAGTTTGGTGCATTTACTGTTTCATTGGCCAGGCTGTTCCACTCTCGTATCGTTCTTGGGAAAAACGAGTACATGTGGTAGTCCGTCTTTGAGCGGGGAATTTTGTACGCATCTGAAATTATGTGCTGTGTTCTCCTTTATCGCATGTTCTAGAATTGTAAATTGTTGCAATGCAAATACCGAGAACTTTGTCAATTTTCCCGATTTTTTTGCATATTTAATGAGGTAAAAAGGTGTGTTTTCGTTTTTTGCGAATTTCTTGAAGACGTTAAATTCTTAGAAAATCGGAATAAGATTTTCGAAAATAGTTCCCTGAAAGCGTTCTTGAGGCAAAGTTTCAGGGTTTTTGATTTTTTGAACTTGGCCAGTGATTCTCGATATTAAGAGTCAGTGACTCTTAAGCAGCAACAACTTCAAGAGGACAACAACAACTTTTATTATTATGACTCGCATATTTACAAAGAAACCAAGTTATGCCTCAATCAAAGAAAGCGTGAGCTGGATCTGGAAAGGAAAATTGCTAGAGCACAGGCCAAGGAACAAACCTACGCTAATGCTGAGCTAGGAACAGCAAACGCCAAACGGCCATCTTGAATTTCTGCTCAAGTGTTCCCTCTTTTGTCGGATCAACAGCCATTTTCTCTTGTGAAGGCACACCCTCCCATGGCTCCACAGGAAACCAAGCCTTTAGAGAACAAATGTTATGAAAATGTTCACCNTTTTTTTGTTTTCTACCCAAAATAAGAGGGGGGGGGGCAGGCCCCTTGGGCCCCTCCCCTATATCCGAGCCACTGCATCCTCTCCTTGTCATAGTGTTTTCGGCTCAGCACCTTAAAAGATAACACAAAAGCTCCTTCTATGCACCTTTTGAGGCTGAACACCCTGAAAGGTACCAAAATCCCCTTTTTAACCCCTAAAAGGTACAACAAGCACAACCGTCCTTTTTCTTCTTCTTCTTCTTCTTCTTCCTGGACGACTCACCTCCTTCAATTCTGAAGATTCTAGTGAGCATATAAATAAAAAAAAATTACAAATTGAAATAAGGCTAAAATGCTATAATAAAAACTAAATAATAATAATAATAATAGAAATAATGATAATAATAATAATAATAAAGTCAAAGTCAACATTGTTTGGTTTGGCCTTGGTCAGGCAGCAGGCTTTTCTTGAAGGCCGTCAAGTTTGGTGCATTTACTGTTTCATTGGCCAGGCTGTTCCACTCTCGTATCGTTCTCGGGAAAAACGAGTACATGTGGTAGTACGAGTACATGTGGTAGTAATTATATGGGAGTTCGCCTCCAGCAGTTTTCTTTCGTGCAATTAGTTTGTTTTGTTTTGGCACATCTCAAAATGATATATTTGTAACCAGAATATTGAGTTTAACATCCCTGTAAGTTATGTTATCTTTGTTATATCTACAGATCATGTCAGCATTTAAAGAGAAGAAACCAAGTAAGTGGATTGATTTTGTTGTGTTTTGTATTGGCAAGCTTTGATTTTTGTGTTGTCTCTTTTAACTTATGTTTTGCTGCATATGTTTACAGTTATTGAGGAGATCTGCCCAAAGGAAAGTTCAGTCATGGTAAAGCCTTTCTTTCGTTTGGTTGAATATGTTTTTTAGCTGAAACCTGAAATGTGAGGATCCTGTACATTGCGTGACATAAGTGTGACATGCCATGATACTGGTTTAATATGGCGTGACACGTATTAATTATCAAATGCTGTAGAGTGCCGCATGCACTGTTAGTTTATGGATGCGCGCAAGAGGTTACCAAGTACAAAAGATATACAGTCAAACCTGTATTAAGCGGACACCCTCTATTAAGCGGACAGCAGTGCAAGTCCCATTTTTTCTTTTCCCACATTTACTGTAAAAAATACCTGCATTCAACGGACATCTCTATTAAGCGGACGCGGACAGCTTGTAAACTTGATTTTTATGGTCATTTCTATTGTTAGAAACCTGTATCAAACGGACACTGCAAAAAGGATGCATGTTTTTTTGTCCACGTTTTTATAGATCGGTAATTTAAGTTTGCCGGCAAAAAGCTGTCACAGAAATGCGATATTTCATTATTCTGTTTTGTTTTTACAGAACTTTTGTTCTTGTTTGTGAACCTTCACGTCATTCTATCAATATAGATATATACTGTTACGGTATACTTAAATCCCTCTACCTCATATAATTGTCATTGTTTATGGAAGTACAGTATTTCAGAGGCGATGGCTAACTAGAATGCTATTTGACCCTTTCCCTTTGCCGTTTACTTTATAAAGCAATGTGAACAAAACGTCAAACGGGCATCCCAAAAAATTCTCTGTAGCGAGTGAAACCCTCTTTTGTTCGTACGTAAGAGGCATTGATTCAATTTCTAGCAATAAACGACTCGAACCTTTAAAAATTCTACGTGTCGTCATGGGCAAATAGTGAATGGTAAATTATCTAATCATTACGCATGCTTTATTTAAGTTATATTTGTAATGAGACGTGGTCCTTTGACATGGTTTGGCATCAATAACGTGATCTGCTATTTCTTGAAATTAAAATAAAGCATGTGAAGAGCTATTATTATAGGGCTTGTTCTTGTAGCCGATGTAACGCGCGCTCTGATTGGCTAATGGTAGGGCATTATTCTCCCGTAATGCTCACGGGCCGACTACGGGCTAGCAAAAAGAAACTAAAAAACCATCTAATAAACAACTTATGAACGTTCGTTCTTAACGGAAAAATCTCAAACCTTGATCTTGCCGTATTATACGGCAATACGGCATGGTCTTGGTCCGAGATTTTCCCGTAAAGACCTCACTCTCGGTCAATAAGTAATTGTTGAAGAACAAGATGATCTTTACCTTTCAGGGGGGAAATATGTTCGTCCTGATTCTGAACAAGCACCTCCCTGGTGACACAGATGAAGGCTACTATGCTAAATTTGGATCCAGTGCTCCGGTTGTCTTGACAAAAGTAAATCAAGTCAATCTAAAGGGAACGATTCCAGGTAAGGTTTTTTTCTTCCATTGTTCATATTTTCAATCATTCCTCGTGTAATGTACCATCTTTTGAGCATAAAATTCACCATCTTTATTCACTTGTCCCTACTCACGATGACGTCGACAGTGCTGATTCTGACGTGAAGTATATATGAAATAATCCATATTTGAACTGCGGTTGTAGATGAAAGTGAAGAATGATCATCGCAGTAAATTTCCAATTTAAGCAATTGGAAAGAAAAAGCCTGGAAAAATCAAGGCTTCAACAGGATTCGAACCCGTGACCTCCGCGATACCGGTGCGATGCTCTACCAACTGAGCTATGAAGCCACACATTGGGAGCGAGGTCAATTAATTGAGTTCATATCTTCCCGTGAGGAGTGAAATGATGTGAAGTTTATATGAAATAATTCA